GAGAGAGAGAGAGAGAGAGAGAGATTAGTGTTTAAATCGTTAGGTTTCGCCTGTAGCAGGACTTTCATCTTGTTGTTCGATGAGTGAAACTGGCGCTGCACCCATCTGATATCTGCGCCGGTAACACTAGGGAGTGAAGTGCAGTATTAGAGACTAATGTCATGTATTCACGTGTGACAAGGCCGGAGGGATAGAACAACTCATCAATACACCACGTTCCCCACAGTCTAGCTCTCTATCAGCACAGAAATCTGTACAGTGATAGAATCTGACAACACCTGGGGCGAGGTATTCATCCTTAAGTACCACAACCTTTTTCTTAAAGTTGTTACACCAATGCGAATAAGGGAGGGCGCATATAGTAAGCTCATTTTCTACGGTTTGATTAGATAATTCTACCACTGACTCCACGCTGCATAATAGTGATGTACATGTACATAGATTTGCAGTTCTTCATTACAAATGCCTAAAGATGAGAGAAGAAACATATACAGCTTAGATATAGATAGAACATAGTTTGCCTAATCCTTTTGTAACTTAAGAGTGCATTTAGCCCCACTGGGGCATGAATATGCAATAAATTTCATTGTCATTGTCATTATACAATCCGCCACAATTCCCACCGCGCCCCTTCTTAGTCCCTCTACGTTTTTTTTTACCTTAACACGGAGCATTAAGTATACTCTGTGCACATTGGATTTTCCGCCACACAAATGTCACTCAGGCTGGCATTTCATGGCTCCCTGATCGAACCGTCAACGACGCGACACGCTGCCACGCTGTAAATATCACGCCATTAGATCCAATAAGTGTGATGGAAAAGTTCTTTTTAGTTATCTTTTATGACAAGGATAACAGTCCAACCGCTATGGCATTCCCAAAAGGCATGAATGCATTGGTCGATCGATGTCTTTCTTTAGAAAAGTATTAAGAAGAAATCCCGAAGGCGTCTTGTGAATACCTTTAAGTTAGTAAAAGCATTAGCTAAATTCTGCCGTGTATTTGTACGTAACTGGCGAAGGGTGTATGTTTACTATCAGTAACAATTCTCCAGAATGAGGTGCATTTATTTCCAAAACAATCGATGGATTCTTGATTTCTTCCTTTATTTCAGTTATATACCATTTTTCATCAATATAAATTTGCGTTTTCGAAGCAAGCCAAATTTAATAGTGTGCGAAGTGTTATTGATAGATTAACCTATTGGCCCCTCCATTACTTTCATTCCCGGAGTACCATAACTCTACAGGGCCTGCCATGTGCTGTATTTCTCCGTTTCCGTTAGCGGGGTGGGGGGAATTTTATGGTTTGTGCCCTCAGTTTCTGCCTCTGGCGACAGACACTGAAAGACAGCAGAAAGCAGTGATGGTAGGCCTCAGTAGCCTCAAACATTGACTCCCGCTGAATGAGATAAGTATAAGAATAAGGTTGCTAAGTATACAAATAAAGTTACTCTTGGGCACCACTGGGCGTACTCCTACTGTCCACTGCTGACCGTGGTGAGTTGTGAACATGCTCGGTGTCTGGCTCTCTTCGAACCCGCGACCGAAACGTCCCCTCCGAGGGGCGTCAACCCCCTGAAGAAAAAAGGCCATGGCAATGGCCCCTTTGCCGTTCGCACAGTGGGTTGTTTATCCACACTGCCGTGGGTGCGGTGTGGAAGGTGGAGCCCATCTACCAGGTACCCATTTACACCTGGGTGAAGTGAGAAGAGTTATTTGAAGAGCCTGTTTAAACAAACAAACAAACAAACAAACAAACAAATAGAAACACAACACAACATCTATCCAGCAATGTGACACTTGTCTGCACTGAATCAGCATGTGTCTAAATCGGTTTGATGGGAAGATTGACCTTGACTGACCGTGTGTTTGTGATGGCGGTGCCAAACTCTGACCTTGGGAAGACCATCTATCACCTTCCCTTGTGCTGTAGGGGCTCCATTCTGTACTTAATCCTCCGGCAATCAAACCTATCAGTTCAGCACAGGTGGAGACTATCGGAAAAACAATTGTAAGAAATCAAGGATAGAGGGGATTTGGTCTCGTGTTTTTGTAATCTATCTTACACTTAATGCCTTGTATACTTAATAGGAAAACTGGCAAAAACCTCTTTTAGTGAAGAGGAAAGTTGTTATGATAAAAAAACTAATACATTTTAGTCATATAAACCATATACCGTATCTGACCGTATCACATTTGTATAGAATACATTTTCTAACCAATCAGGTATCAAATACTTCGAGGATTCGGTAACATTCTTATTGTCCAGGAACCTTAACAGCCTTGTTTTACACGCATGCGTGCGTCTGATGAGAAGTTAGATATTCAATTGTTTAAATTTATGGACTCAAAGAATCGATTCAAAGTCCACTTTTCTCGGCACAGGACAATGCATCATTCCATCAAAACGTCTGTAGAGCAGCAATAAAATGATTAAATGATAACGTTTTATGCAGCAAAAATCAAAGAAATTATTCATTGTAGATATGATCGAGTTATAGAAACCTTTCTGGCGTACTTTTCAGATAATACAGTTCATTGGGTGAAACGTAGCACGATCAATCAGGTTTTTACTGTCTGGAACTTTTTTGGATCCGGAAGTTTTTTGTAGGCACTGATACTAGTTATTACGAGGGAGGATCTACTTCTTTTATTTGATTGATCAAGTTAAAGAAAGTATTTGAAGTAAGGAATAAAGCCATGGAAACTAAATATTTGTTGCATTCAACTCTACAACTCTCAAACAACATAGAAGAGTTTTACAAGATTAATCAAGTCAGAGAAATCATTTGGAGTAAAGAATAAAGCAATAGAAACTAAATATTTGTTGTAGTCAACTCTACTGTTCTCAAACAACAAATTAAGAAGAGAAACAAAATTACAAGCAATCTAAGCCACTCCACTGCCAAAGAAGACCAACAATGGGTTGATCTAAAAGCGATGACATGTACAGTACACTGATGAAGATTCAATCTTTTGTTTCTACTCCATGTAGTAGTAACTACTTTACCTACACGATTTGTGGTTAGTAAGAAGTCCATTTCGTCTCACTGCCAGCCGGTGAGGACACGGTCGATTGATTGCATCAGACCGGTCATGGATCTTACTTTGGTACGGATGGTGTTGTCCTAGGCAGGGCATTAGGGTCGGGTAGCAAGCTGAGAGATCCAATTTATTCTATACGTGCTCTGAATGCAAATGTTTGAAACTTCAGCTTATTTTGGATTACAGGACAGAAAAATGGCATCGTTAACTCAATCATAGTGTCCGTGAATTCTATTTCAATCTTGTCATGTCATTATGATCAATCGGTTGTGACACCCACTGAGAATGAAGCTAAACCTATCCTATAGGTTCTAGATATGAAACTTACTTTTGCATTACAGCCGAAGAAAGCAACATTGTAACTGGATTATGTATTCTATAAATGTTAATTTTGCCGTCTCATTGTGCTCTTTCAGGTGTATTAGACATTGGAGATGAAGACAAACGTATCATAAGAGATCTGAAGAGGGCACTCAGCCGTCACCTTCAATGATTGAACTTCGGGAGAGAGCTTCTATCAACACTCCTCTGTCGGCGATCGAAGAGTGGATCATGAAAGTTCTTACAGACAATATCATTTAGAAAGTCGTGCCTATATAGGAAGAGAATCTGGAGCCAGCAGACTTTTGTTCAAGTACAGCACTATTCTTATTGCCATTATACTTGTCACTTTACATGTGGTGGAGCTTATTTCTCGCTCTATACAAAGAGTCTCTGGAGGGTCCCCGACGTCGATACAACGATCGAGCGGAGCTATTTTAGGCGTACGCGGGCATCGTCATGTCTATAACTCTCGGCACCAGCACGGTGTTTCCAGTGCGTGACCGACTGACTGGTTACCGGGGGTTTAGTGGAGCTGAGCGGCGGGCGTGTCGATGAGGAGCGGGGTGGTTGATCGTATCTCACGGGAGGCAGAACGTCTGGAGCAGAGAGCGATTTGACGGGACAACTGTTGATACTGGTAACATACACGTGGTACCTGTGCGTGTGCTGGCAGCGTTCAATCGTGTTGACTGTTCATTCTGGTACTGATATGACGTCTATCACAGTATCGGACTGACTTCGGGCTACGTTTTACTAAGACTACAGTCTTCACAGCCTGTGGTAACAATACCCATCCATGAAATCTCTGCTCTTCACTTGACGATTTTCGTAATTTTATTACAACCGCAAAGACAAGTACTTCGTAAAGACCACGGGTAAGATAAGAAGAGGATTCCTTGCAACAGTTTGCCATCCCGTCGACACGTTTGCCAGAGAAACCAAGACTACGCACATCAGGGACCATGAAACATTGGCAGAGACTACTGAACGCGCACCACAGACAGAAGGCGGAACAAGAAGAGGCGGCGAAAGCTAAGATCAATAAAGGGTGAGTTGATAACATTACAAACGACTATAATGCACTTAGGTATTCTGATAATTGTTTTCAAGGAGTCAGACATTACAAAAAAAAATTGGCAACAAATTTTGTCCAATATCATGTCTGAAAATGATTCCTTGTGACATCACCAACCGAAGAAGGAAGGCCTTGGATTTCACAGCAACATGTCGGGTTGGTGTACCTTCAACATGTGAGTATCCATCTACCTTCTAGGGTGAGACGGTGGTAGTGCTATGTAGATCATAATGTCATAGCTGTAGATAGTGTGGTGAGTGCAGTAGACCAGTCCTGGTAATAGTCGACTAGTCCGAGACGCAGTTGAGCGACCATTGAGTGACCAAAAATCTCATCAGAATGTTCTATTTCATTGATAGAGAAATGCGTTTCTGTGTTTATTTATCTTGCAAGTATTTTTTTTTGTTTGTTTTGCACGTCGTACACATCAAATTTTGGTTGCTCAGTGGTTTCCCAGAGTTTCCGCTCCATCCAGTGGATGTAGAGGTTAGTGAAAATGTTCTAGGATCTTTGCTTCTGTTTTGATAGCTATCTCCTTATATTACCTGTATTTGTTAGATGTGACTTGTGGCACTTTTCAAATACATTAGTTTTCATTGTCAAAAGTGTCGTTACAAGGGTCGTCGCAATGTGGCGTTGCAAAGAAAAGTGCTGAATGTCTATCCCACTTCTTTATATTTTCGCTAGATGGCGCAGCTAGAGGCACCACCATTGCTTTTAAATTTAAGAAATCATGTTTGTATGAACGATGTGCAGCATCTTCTACCAGCCAAGGTCATTAGAAACGATTGATGTTCCACTGGGCACGCATGTGTTGCTAGCTGTAGGCAATGCACAGCCAGCTAACGTTATATGATCATGAATACTGTAAAAGCATTTGAAAACTGTTGAAAGCACCAGGGAATACCACACAACGTACAGTGCCCATTTAGAAAATATGCATATCAATCAATCAAGTCTCCTTTTCCACATCTACCACAGAGTGTATCGTTCATTGGGTGGTTGTAAAATTTACACTTAAAACGTTTTCATCGGCCCCAGTAGATTTTTAGACCTGAATATATAAGTTGGGGACCCATGGGCTCTAATATATTAGCCTGGGTATACTAAGGCACACAGGTTTTCGCGGCAAATATTAGAGCATGCTTGAGGTCGATTTGTTGCAGTCTTTTTAACAGCAGACATTTATCAGAAGAGATTAGAACGGAAGGGTAGAAGCCCCGGAGGCTAGGCGAGGTCTGTCTTCTGTCAGCGTTTTCCACGTGGAGAATTGCAAAGTAAAGTCGCAAACATCCACCCATCTATCATCAGGCCACCCTGTAGACGACTGTTCTCACTACTGTGCACAATCCAGCTGTAAAGCCATCAATATCAAATCGACTTCTGGGACAAACACTGTCCCTTGTACATAGTTTTTTTACGTGTATAATTCCAAGGTCGGTAGCAGGTACACTAATGTATTACAAAAGGTACTATATTGTCAAGTATGCTCACATCATTTTGTCAATCAAAATCTATTCATGATCTATCGACGCTCACATATAAAACCTGAATGGTTACAACGGTTCTCTTATTATAACTGTACATTTAACCCTAAACAGTACACCTGGGGTCCGCTCGGACCCCAGCACTATATATTCTGTAATATCTTTTTTGTTTCTAAAGATTTTTTTCTGAAATTTTAGGTAATTGTCACCCACAAAGTTGTCTCTCAACACAGCGCAGAAAACTCCGTTTCTACCATTTATAAAAAAAATTATATCTGATTTTCTTTTGGGGTCCGCGCGGACCCCAGCCGGCTTTTGATCATAATGGATACACTGTCGTTCTTATACATTACCTTATTTCCGTTTTTATATGTTTTTATGCACTCATCGTATGTCTACCAAGTTTTCAGAGAATGGTGTAGTAATAGAATTAAATTTTGATAACTTTGGTGTAATTATGACGTCATATGACGTCAGAGCTAATAATATAGTCCGCCATATTGGATTTTGACCAATGACGTCATAAAATTAGCATATTCTATGCATATTAAATGATTTAACTTATATTTAATTATGTAAGATGAAAATAATGTTGGAAAAGAAGTGTAATTTAATATAAAACTCAGAATTTTTTTATGTTTAAACCAAAATTACTTCTATTTTCAAAAAAACTGCCTGCTAGAAACCCGTTGCCATGGCAACACAAAAAAACATCAACCTACTAGTATTAAACTAATATGAACTTTTTTCCAGAGACATTTTAGGAAAGGTCTCCAAATTTGATACTTCTAGCGCAAGCCGTTTAGCCGCTATCTGAGATCAAAGTTGGGCCTTAAAAGCCCCTTCAGTCTGAAATGGGTTTAAAAATCGGGTATTTCTTCTTGTCTTCTTTTTTTCACCAAAAATTAGAAAACGTTCAAAATGTATGATTTTTGTATGTAATGTGGACACAGAGATTCCCACATCAGTTTGCAAAACAATTGAGCTGGTAACATGTTGATAATTTCTAAAAATTAGCAAAAAACTGTTCTGGGGTCCGCGCGGACCCCAGGTGTACAGATTAATCAGTCCGGGAAGGTGTACTGTTGAGGGTTAAAGGCATTTTTTCTGGCATCTATTTGTAGTATCACATGTGTTTTGATATCTTCTATGTGAAAACGTATATGAATGTTTTGATTTTTGAGAAAACACAAGGAATGGACTTGAAAACAAAGAATTAAGAAAAAAATCACGCACGTCCATCTCAGTGCAATATTCTGCGCACCCACTGTAGTGAGTGATATCCCTGCAATCAGGTCTGGTACCAAGAGAGCTCTAAAAGCCATAAACTTGGAATCGTCTTCTGGGGGCAGAAATACTACTCTCACCGTTTCCCCGCCCAGTTTTACACGTCCTTGAATGCCAACTAGGCAGTACTTATTGTAAAAGCGCACCATGTCGTAGTTTAGACCTCTATCATGTCGAATAAATCCTCAGTCATTATATCCTTATGCAACGCTTGGTGTAAAAGCCTCGCCTGAACGTTCGGGGGGTCAAAAACGTGGGTAAAATTGAAAACTGGGATGAACTTAGGAGTGCCAAAGACGAGAAGAAGAGTGGGAAGGGTTTAAAGGCATATTGAAGTACATGGACGTGAATGTATTCTAGATTTTACAAGGGCAACACAACTCCGTGTATCTGCGTGTCTGCCACTTTTCGTGGTTCCTAATGTACGGAATGCAGAGATTCCATACATGCACCATTATTACTGTTTTTCTAAATTCTTCTGTGATACTTGGGTCGCAAAGCAGTGTGGATAATTTGTCTCTAATTTTTTTGTTGTTAATAGTTTTCATGTTTTGCCAGGGCGAAACCGTGTTGAACGATATAAAACGCTTTGAACACATCCGACACACGATATGCTACAGTACTCATAATGGATGATCAAACGTACCTAGGGATCAATCAGTAATGATTGCAGGGGGGGGATATAGTAACCCGCTCTCCATTAAAAAGAATCAATAGTAACGTTTAACACTTTCATGAAAAACCTTTCTTTCACCTCGATAAAAAATACTGAAGGTGTACATCAAATTCATTGTACTTGACAAAGAAAGTGATTCATTGCTATTCAGAGAAGCCAAATATATACTATAGATAAACCTACTCTCTTAGCAGAGGTTTCTGGCTTATTTTGGGCGTGTTTTTAGGCTTTTTCTTATCGGTCTGTCTTTTTTGCACTTGTATATTTTTTACGCCAACCCGTTAGTAAGATAAACCCCAGCGAGTATTTATGACCCACCCCTGGGTAGAGTCGCGTGTAGATGGCGGGCTTTTCTGTCAGACGACAGTTTGCTCACAAGCAGGTGTTTCCCGCCGATAACAAAGACCCCTCGACATACATCTCATGGTTTCTCCTTCACAGCGCGCCGTAGCGTGTTAAAAGAACGTCTCTGTATACGCCAGTGAAGGTCGTTGATAATGCAAAAGTTTTTGACGAACAGTAAAGTTTGGGTAGTGTTTTTAGCTAAAAGCACAACCCCATGAGTATAGTGTGGCTCTAAATAAACCCATAAAATGTGGGAAGTTTCTTGTAGCGTCTCTATAAGAATTCGACAGTACTGTACCCATTTCTCGACGACAGTTTTTTAAAATGTTGGTTCTTCTTGAAATTGGCGAGTCTGATGCGAAATTCTGAACATCAGTTTTGACATTTAATGTCTAACGCCGTGAAATCAAACCCACAACGGTGACCAGTTTGCTCATGAAATATGCAAATGTTGATTAAGCTGCGACGCCAGGAGTACTGTACCAATCTCGTGCACATGTTTTGTTGAGTGTGATCATTTTCGACACGAGACAAGATGCACAGGAATACCAACTTTTTCGCAAAGACTATCAAGACGGTCAGAAACAAGGTGAAATACGTATCGACCTTCAGAGGAAACCAAGAACCACTGTATGTATAACCACAGTATTTGAACCGTATTTCCTGTTCTAGAGTTTTCCACTTAGAATATTGTGGTGCCTATATGTTGGTAGACGTATAGTACACCGTTTGCCTAATCATATTTTCACATTTCTGGAATACCTGGATATTTTTTAAACGTTTGGCTTTTTCTTCTTGTTGTATTTGCATGTTGTTATCGCCTCTGTTCCACATACTGTACTAATTTCCGATCTCAAACTGAAAAAAAGAAACTGTCATCTTCAAATAGTTACCAGATTTTGAAGGTAACTGGTAGCTGTAACTCACCTCAAAACTGTTTCATTCCCTTATATAAAAACACTGACTGGAAGTTTCAAAATTGGGACGTACTAGTAAAAACCCAAAGGATATAACTGTTGATATGCCCCTCCTACATGATCTTTCATCAAAACTAACCAAAAGTTACGATGTTTCCTATCCTGACTGGTGCAAGGTTCATATTGTCACAGGTCATGCCTGTAAAAGTTGTACTTTACGGGATTTTATGAGCAATTGGCAAATAATGCAAAATTCATGAC